TGTCAAATATGACACTGACAAGCGGGAAATTTCGCACCTGGACTGGAGATTTCGAGAACCTTCTGGGTTACCTGGAGGAAACTAAGAGCGTGTTTTCCGTTTGTTATTGTTATTGTTTGTGAAGTTGACGTTAATTTAGAAGTTAGTTTGTTCCTGTTCCGTAGTTAAAGTTGTACCTAGTGGAATAAAAGTTGGAAGCAGAAGAAAGAGTTTAATACTCGGCCATCCACGGTACAGTATTGTATTTACAACGCATTTGCATTTGCAAAGAAACAATAGTATGCTTATAATATAAAGTGATGACTCTTGGGATAGTTACCAAGTGAAAACCATGCAATCCCTTAAAATAGGAAAAAATCACAGTTTAAGTTGACTTGTGTGTTCACACACTTCGAATCAACCCTCGGTGTCTCCTTACAAACTTGAATCTGAAAAAGGAACCAAAAACGCCATGCAAAATCCTGGCATTGTCAGCAGATACATAGCTGTAGCCAGAGAAAGATCAAATAATGACTGAAATTAAACTTGTATGGGTACATCAGATGTTCATTAACTCGGACCCGTAGCTTCCTTATTTTTTTACCAATATAGGAAACATCAGGGGAGGCACAATTCAGCCTATACAGGGTATCCCAAAAGTAATGGCACAAAACAAAATGACGGATTCCTAGGGTAAAAATATGATGATAACTTATCTTAACTATCTTAACTTATCTACAACTTATCTTAGTCCAAAAGTTGACGGTTGCCGATATACAGGCCGTCAAACTTACATTTTAATTTCAGTTTTTCGTTATTCTACTTTAAGCGGAGCTGCATATTTTAACGAAATTTGGTACACCGGGGTTTTTGAGCATAACAAATATAAATATGCCATCAAATTTTGATCAACTCGTAGACAAAGTCACTTGTCGCGATATCTGGCAAAAGAATGCTTTTAAATTTTTGGTTACCCGGTATGCTAACTTCAAAAATGGCTGAGTCTAATCGCCTATTAATTTTAGCCTATGTCCCAACCAGCCTCTGTTTCAGAATTATTTGCGATTAAACCATTCAAACCAACCAGAAATATGCAGTGTTTACAAAAAATAAGGCACAATAGGTATCTAAGGGATAACATATCTACTAAACATCATTTGTCAACAGTAGGATCTTTTGATCTTAATCACTAACAATAAAACATCCATTTTCGGCAGCAATAGCTCCAAATATCCTCCGTTAACTTTAATACATTTTGAAATGCGTTTATTGAGACTTTTTCGATTAGACTCAGCCATTTTAGAAGTCGGCATACTGGGTGACCAAAAAGTAAAAAAAAATTTTTACCCAGATATTACCGCAAGTGGCTTTTTATACGAGTTGATCAAAATTTGATGACAGATGTAGATTTATTATACTCAAAAACTCCTGTATACCAAATTTCGTTAAAATATGCAGCTCCGTTCAAAGTAGAACAACGAAAACCTGAAATTAAAATGTAAGTTTGGCGTCCTGTATGTCGGCAACCGTCAACTTTTGAACTAAGGTAAGTTGTGTTAAATCATATTGTAACTGAAATGGCCTGGGGTACTCACGTTTGGAACGGGGGGATCGAAATTCATGGTATTTCAGTAAATGGGAGCCCCATTTGCGCCCCATTTACTAACAAATATGACACTGACAAGCGGGAAATTTTGCACCTGGACTGGAGATTTTGAGAACCTTCTGGGTTACCTGGAGGAAACTATATAAGCGACGACGAGAACCAGGGGAAGTCAGTGAAGTGACAGTAGCGACAGAGTGTAGAAGAGGTTACACCCCGCGAGTCGGAAGACCGAGTTTTCCGTTTGCCATTGTTATTGTTTGTGAAGTTGACGGTAATTTTGAAGTTAGTTTGTTCCTGTTCCGTATTTAAAGTTATACCGAGTTAATAAAAGTTGGAAGCTGAAGAAATAGTTTTATGCCCGCCCATCCACGGTACAATATTTTCACCCCAGGAATCCACCATTTTGTTTTGTGCCATGACTTTTGGGACACCCTGTATATTCAATTCTTATCCAAAGCGTCCGCTCCCTTATCCAAAGCGTATCCTGATTGTGACACAGATTACTCGCCAAGCTATTGTCAGACATGAGGAAGAGGTGGACCTGATCCATACCCTTAAAAAGGTTAGCAACCCCCTAGATATCCGGTCTATGTAAGGAAGGGCGAAATAAGATCTGGAAACCGTGGGATTAGAAAGAGGGCCCACAGCTGCAGAAAATCTAAGCCTTGTCATAGTTCGATTAAGGATAGAGTCAACTAGGGATGGGATAGTTAGTACTGATTGCGAGAAACTTTAGAATATTCAATTCCTTGTCGAAGTTTGTCGGTCACAACGGAGTCTGCAGCAATCTATAGACATAACTCCGATGGGCCGCCATTTTGTGTTCAAATGGGTGATTGGAATTAAATTTGATCAAATGGTCCGGCTGAGTGGGCTTACGATAAATGTCGGAAGCCAGATGCCGGCTGTCAATAGATAATTGCAGATCCAAAAGACTCAACGTGTTTTCCACTTGCATTTCAATTCTAAACTGTATATTATGGTCTATCTTATGGAAAAAATTTTAAAAGCTTCTACATTGTCGCTCCTAATGATGGCAAAAACATCGTCTACATATCTGAACCAATGTGAGATGGGTAATTGATTGGCTGAACCAAATATGCGGTTATTCTCCAAGTGGTCCATAAAAATGTCTACCATCAGAGGACTCAGAGGGTTACCCACGCTAAGGCCTTTGGTCTGTGAATAGATTTTGTTGTTGAAACAGAAAAAATCTTGATCCGGAGTGACTTTTTTGAACAGAGCAAGTTACCATTCAATTGTGGAGTCAGAAATTAAATTACGTGTTAGAATTTCACGGACAAAGTACAAGACTGCGTTTCTCGGAACGTTAGTAAACAAGTCAGTCACATCAAAAGAGACCATTATGTAGTATGGTGGGAAAACCAATTGCTTAGACCTGCTGACAAAAGCTAATGAGTTCTTAATCGAGAACTTTGGTTTACACTGCAGAAATTTCAACAGCAACGAGGAGTTTGTCACCCCTGCCAACCTAGATAGAGGAGAGCATCTCATAGCACAATCCAGTTTGTGTAGTTTTTGGAAGTCCAAACAACCCAGATAGGCAAGGGTTGTGTGGAACGAAAAAACACAAATTGATGTCCATAGTTTTCAGTTGTAATTTATACAATCTTGACCATGAGTCTCCTCAAAATATGCGCACAGTTTAATCTCTTACCAATAGATATAAAAAAGTGTGTCTATATAATTTTATTAAAATCTCATTATCCCGAAACAGGACACATCACGCTCTGGTGTGCAATCTTTTCATTGCATAATTTTGTCATTTCTGTTTTTTTAATAATAATATTTATTTTTATAGTACTCTTCTATCTGTGTTTATTCCGTAAGAACGGCTCTAATTTGACATCAGTCGTTCTGTGACTATGATAAGATTTGAAATTCACACAACAAACTTTTTAAGAATTTAAAAATTTATTAATGTAACCAGTAGCATAAAAATGTACCATACAATTTCTTAAAACTGAAATATAAATGTCATTCCGCAAGATAGAAAAATATCGATCTGATAAACATATATAATATATGATATAACACTCAGAGTTCCATTCAAATTGATAATTTAACAACAATTTTTTATTCAGTTATTTGGTTTTCTTTTTGAGAGAGAGTTGTTTTATTTGTAACTAAAATTATAGATAAATATATTAAAATGTAGAATCGCTTATTTATCCTTAATTACGATTTTATCAAGAACAAAATCCTGTAA